ACCTCCTCTTGTTACTTTCGACCCCCACCTGCCGCTCATAGGGTGGGGGGTGGGGGGAGACAATAGATCCCCCCTCCTTTTGTTACTTAGGGCCCCCATCCACCGCTCATGGGTGGGGGTGGGGGGAAGCAGTATGCCCCCACCCCTTTTGTTATTATGGCCCTCACCGTGGAGGGGACCCATTGGGGCTAAGGTGGGGGGTGGGACACTATGTCCTCCCCTGTTAATTATTTTTCTAGATGCTCTACCATGGGGGACCTGTACTAGGTCCCCCATAAATTGATTCAGGGGGTGGGGAGCCTATTTTATAGAACAGTGAGCAACCACAGGTGGTATAGCGAGTAGGGGCATTTTAATCTCCCTTATGCTATTATGGGGGTCATATAGAGTGAAGGAGGACATAGGGGGAGTTAGGAATTGGTGCAGAGCACAGCTCTCTGCTGCTTCTGTTTTCACATATTACAAGGAGGGAGTTGCGAGCTGGTAGCTCCTCCTTGTAATAAACTAAACAAATGAACGAAGAGGTATTCATTCATTCGTTTGAAATTTCTATTCATTAATTCGTATTTCTGGTAAATAAATGAATTGATGAAATTCCCATCCGAATGCCAAAGTGTTTAACTTTTTCATAGCGTTATCTAGTGTGGGCAGATGACGTGTCCCACAGGGCCTTCATCTGCCCACACAAAGATGGCGGCGCCCAGGACCTAGGTCCGGGCATGAAATAAAGTTATTAAAAAAGGTAAATTGGATGGCCTATGGTATTTGGGGGTGACTAGGGGCAGTATGTATTGGAGTTAGAAGGGGGGTTAAAAAAAACAAAAAAAACAGATGCGGCCATGACTATACCAGATATGTTGCTAAATTCTGAGTTTGGAGAAGTGGGTTATGGTAGACTGTTCATGTTCTGACAGCTTTATATTTAGCACCACTTTGGACATGAACCGCTTCAATTTGTTTTAAAAAAAAAAATGCCCCCAAAAATACTAAAATAGTTATTTTCTTCCCATAATGTGTTTTTAACAGCTACATGTTGCGTCCAAAGGACCAAATCGAAATAGCATATTCTGCTGGCTCTTTTTGACATGTCCAGTTCTAGACCATGATATCGAAGGTTAAAGAACACCTGCCATTTCCAAAATTGCCTTGGAGCTGATGTTTTAGAACTACAACTTTCATGATGCTTTTCTTTTCTAAAGGCAAATGAAGCCTGATGAGGGATGTAATTGTACAACTTCTAAGAATCTATCTTTTGGGCACCATCTCTTGAAGAGTCTAACATCACATCTATACATATGAACCCAGAAGGCAGTTGCACGGGTGCTGAGACACTAAAGAATGTGTAATTTACAGGGTTAATTCCATCTTCACAAATTGATGGAGATGATGTAAATATTCTGAATTATGGGATTTAATACATGATCTACTGTTACACACACCTATACAAAGACTCACACACACTCATACATACACACACACACACACACACACTCACACAAGCACTAATGCATACTAAGGTAAGTGGTTTTTTTTCAAGGTTATTCATTAAACACCAAATTGTAGTGAAATAAGAACCAGATTGCAAAACTGAGACAATAATAGCCAAACTTTGTCTATAGCTGCATTATTTTCCAACCAGCTATTTTAGCCTTAACATGACTATTCAGATTTCATTTTGCTGGAATTCAATTTCCAATGAATAACTGTATTTCAGTATATATTGTATGCTAAATGTTACCAACTTAAAGTTTATAGCACCACTCCCAGTCTCAGGTGCCTCATTACAGGAGACTGTGAAAAGAACTTTAAAATACATTTTCCGAGAATCTCAGAGTCCCGTATACTGGGCTAATCTAAGAAAGGCAATCATAACTGCCAAAACACATGAAAGTTTGTAAGCAATATATGATCACAATATCTAACTAATTCCACATTATAGGCAACTTTATAAAGTGTACACATATTGACCCCTTAAGGACACAACTTCTGGAATAAAAGGGAATCGTGACGGAATATTTCCGTAATGTGTCCTTAAGGGGTTAAAGTTAGTCCAGAATGAAGCGTGCTGTGAATCTATCTATCTGTCTGTCTGTGAATCTATCTGTCTACCTGTCTGTCTATCTATCTATCTATCTATCTACCTACATATTTTTATAACAACTTCCTCAGACTCTTTTTATAGCATTTTCACATGCAAAATGCAATAACATACGCTCTGCCATTTCCAATGGCCTTTTTGAAAAGTAGCCAAAACAGCTGGTGTAATTGATCAAGACGTGTAAAATAAGACCGTCTACAAGGAACAAATTATAATCTCTTGAAGGCAGAACAGTAATGATACCAAAGCTCAGAAGTTGAAAAATAACATGTTGGCTCAGCATTTTCCCATCAACAAACCGTAATGTAAAATCGTTCTTATAATTGACAGGGGCATTTGTTGAACAAAATTCAAGGGTTGAGATTTCATCTGAAAGGAAAGGAATCTTGTTTTTCTCTTGCTTTTTTTTTATCGTAGAACAAATGCTATTTATAAAGGAATGTAAAATACAATACTATGGGGTACGCCAAAGGATTTTGGCAAGCATACTCGTTCTCAAGTTGCGACATTATCGTAAAGAAAACGTAATTACTTTTAATGTTTACATGGGCATACTTTCTTGATTCTGTAACTGCATTTGCCATCAGAGACTGCTATTAATTATGGCACTTAATTAGATTTTTTTTCCATGTTACAGGTAATGTAAAGGAGTCTTTATTATATTAGATTGTTTTTTATTTGTAACACAATTTATAATGGTAGAAGCATGTAGCACTGATACATCCCTTAGGTCATGGCAAGGGTGCATAATTTATTATTACACTATGGAATATCATTGTGACGGAACGCTGGCACTCCGACTGAGTACCTCCGCCAATCGATGCTCCTAGTGCTCGCTGAGGACTCCAAGCACTCCAACCGACACTATTAGCACTGCAGACCCCACTTCCAGCGATGCAACTACGCCAGGTCTCTGCTGTCTCCACCCACCCTGGACCCAAGGCCAGGATCCAGCTTCCAGTGGGTGAACCTCTCTTTCCCCAGAGAGCAGGAACAGGAACAAGCTCTTAGCAGAACTTAGTGATCATACCCTGGGGAGTATAGTGATTATAGCAATCCCAGAGTGTATTTCTCCAATCCCCCAAACATGAGCCAAGGCTTAATGCTGGAACAAGACTGATTTACTGGCACACAGAACTCACAATTTATGCAACACAAAACTCCTCCTCTGGGCCAGGCTAGATAATTGAGTTTCTACAATACACAAAGCTCAATTATCTGCTGGCCAGAAATAATACAGTTTCATAAAACACATCACAGGGACCCCAAAACATGTAATAACCCCATAAAAATATGGGATATCCTTGGAACCGGGGGATCTGGGTGAACCACATATCCAAAATTCACCCAGATCCGTTCAGTACTTTGGAAAATACAGTTTAATGCAGATTCTGCAGAACATATACAGGCTAAATGAAAAACAATCACTGTATAATGTGTCCCCTGCTGTATAGTCCAAAACCACTCCACGATGTCTCTGTGCACCAAATACTGGCGAGATGGCACCGTGTTGAAAAGTCCAAACAGTGTCTGTGAGTTAAAATGCAACAATCCATTGTTCTCACCATGTGCTTCTAATACAGGAAATGGTGGCCACCCAGTAACTCCACAGTATGTCCCCAGATGGTTCTTAAAGGGCCAGCAGCAGCACAACACAAATCCATTATGCCCAAATCATGTCTTTAAAGGGCAATACATCCCAGGGGCCATAGTCACAGGGCAAGAGGCGGGCAAGCAGTCCTCTCCAGGCACAAGTGGCGAAGGGCACTTCGTCACAATCATCCTTTAATGTAATTTGCATAGTAAATGGCACAAATTACAGAGATGCTATTGCTGAGGTCAACAGGGGTTACATCTTTTGAAGCTGGGACCCCCAAAGAGGTCAGATGACAGAAGGGGTAGTATGAATGGCATAGGAATTTGAAAAGGATTTTACTATATGGATGTGAAGTAATCAAGGCTCTGCAAGGTGTGAGGTTCTACACTTGGAAAAAGTCTGAATGTCTCTTCATCCATTTGGCATGTACCTTGTAAAAGATAGTTCAATCCTTTGATATGGTAATGGGATTACCGAATTACCGAATTGCCGAAGTGCCGAACCGAATTTTGGAAGTGCAGAATTCTCGAATTGCCGAAGTGCCGAATTTCGGAAGTGCCGAACCGAATTGCCAAAGTGACGAATTTCAGAAGTGCCAAAGTGCATCGAATTTCTGAAAAGTGGCAAAACAAGAGAAGTAGGGAAAATTATGAGAATGATGACAGGAATCTAGACCAATAAGCTAATTCATGGTACTGGGAGCTCTATAGATGTGTAAGTGGTTGTGGTGCCAGTCTGGGCACCTAACCCTACCCCTACCCCTAACCCTACCCTAATCCTAACCCTACCCCTAACCCTATCCTAACCCTACCCCTAACCCTACTCTAACCCTATCCCTAACCCTAACTCTAACCCTACCCTACCCCTAACCCTTTTCCTACTCTAACCCTGCCCTAACCCTACCACAACCCTTCCCCTACCCTAACCCTACTCTAACCATAACCCTACCCTAACCCTAGGGGTAAGGTTAGGGTTAGGTGTAGGGTTAGGAGTAGGGTTAGGGATGGGATTAGGGTTAGGGGTAGGGTTATAGCTAGGGGTAGGATTAGAGTTAGGGGTAGGGTTAGGGGTGGGTGTAGGGATTAGGGTTAGGGAGCCCTACAGATGTGTAAGTGGTTGAGGGATGCTTACAAATGTCCGAATTGCCAAAGTCCCGAATTGTCAAAGTCCCGAATTTCGGAAGTGCTGAACCGAACCGAAGTGTCGAAGTCCCGAATTGCCGAAATCCCAATTTAGACAGAAAATTGTGTTGTAAAACTCACCTATTGTCACAAATTAACTATCTTAATCTCCTATATTTTGCAACTTGGTCATAATTCATTATAATTTGGTGTTTAGTGAATCAGTCCCGTAGATTTGGTTCGGTGCAATTTGTTATATAGTGAAATGTCTCTTCAGGGATTTATACCACATTTCAGAGTTTGAAATTTACAGCAAAACACAATAGCTTAAATAAAACAAAGTTGCTTTGCAGACATTTTCCAATTCACAATCCACTCATTCTCTTTTCACCTAAAATAGGAAATTCACTCGGAACTCCTGAAAATTTACAATTCACTAAATACCCCTATCAAGTAACCATCTAAAGGTGATATTTACTAAATCATTGAACCAGAGAATTTTAAAATGCTAAATAGTCAGGATGGAGTATAGTTGAATTTGAGTTTTTCCAATTTAGCTATTTTAACCAATAATATGAAATTCTCTTAACAATTCCTTCTATATTTATAGGGCAAAAACTATGCATAATAAGATATGTCTGGACCAACATCATTATTATTATATATTTTTTGTAGTCATAATAGTCTTTTGTGCACTGATTTATCTATAAATGGCCAAGTCTTTAAATGTCTTGAATGTTACAATTACATTGCTATCACTGTATATATCAAATAACTTGCATGCACAAATGGAAAGACCAGCAGGTACTCTTAATGAATCGAAACCTTCGCTCTTGGTAATATTTTTCTTGCATGTATTTTCCTGCTGGTGGTGATATACAACATACATTATCAGTTAATCTGTCTCAAATCCAGAGAATGTTATTAAAAAGATATGCACTCAGGCATGGCTTTAGGGGTAATCGAATACTGTCCTAAATCTTTGCATGAATAGGACTATTAATGTAAACAGGAAATACAGGCAGGACAAAAACACTTTATAAGCTGTAAAATGATCCCACGAGGAGTTTTCAGATCAATCACTTTTTTTTGGTGATTAACTCAGTATGTTGTTTAAAATGTATTATATAATATTGAATTACACGTTATGCTACGGCTATTATTAATAAAATTACAAGCAAAAAGGTAAGATAATACCAAGAAAATAAAAGCCTACTAGAGTGCTCATTAACAAAATTAAATAAGGCTTATCTGACTAGATTTGTCAACAATAATTGCTCTTTTTGTCAATGAATAATTTGTTCAAATTCTACTTAACATTCTAAATTACATCTGGCATGTTAAACTACTTTATATGTTATCTAAAGTCACAACAAATGATGGCAAATATGCACAATAAATTGTATTAAAGTGTAAGAGAAAATGCTGATTATATTATTGATTATATTCTTCTTATATTCTTGATACTTGATCTGTGGCCACTAAGGTAATTCAGTAAAATGTACATTTTAGGCAATTTCACATTTTATGTCGTGTCAAAATTCTTAAATTGAAAATATTGCTAACTTAGAGAATGTTTCCGTTTTGGTTATTTGGGATAAAATTTGAAATTTAACTTGAATTCCCCAAAAGTCACACTTTAGTGGATAATTCTTTATACTATAAATTTTATAGGACATATTTATTAGAAAGTGAACTGTGTTGAATTGGAAACGTAACTGTAAAACGTAGGCTAAAATACCAAAAGAAAAACATCTATCCAGATCTGAATTTTGCCATGTGATTTCAATTCAACAATTTTTTTTATGCTTATTTCTTAATTTTCTGTTAAAAACAAACAAAAATGTATTAAAACAATATGATTAAATAAAGGAGATCAGCTTAGTAAATAGAAGTGTACAAGAAAAGATTACCAAAATGTCAGTTGCCTAGTTTAAAATTTCCTTCAGCTTTGGGCCTTAATTTACTGTTTTTCTTATTTTGTTTGTTAGTTTTTTCTTGTGCACAAATGTGTTTTTGCTGGTATGAACAAATCAAATGCATTTATTCTGTGCAGTTCATGATTTAACTGTGGAATCTTATTCAATGAATAAGGCTCCAGCGGTAAATCGCCCACAGATAATTTGTTTGGGTGCAGACTAAAATACATTTGGTTCATTTGTACCAGCTGAAACACATTTGTACACAAGCCTGCTGGGCATATGCTCTATTTTAATTAATGTTGAGTGGTAAAGAGTAAACATCTAATATTTCAGGGATGCACAATGTTGGTTGGCAGAGAGTTATGAGAATTGTATTCAAACAACATATTTAAATCTGTTTAGTTTAGAAAAATGGTTTCCTATAGCGGAAACAGTAGCTTTATACAAATATGTTCAGGTCCAATACCAATCACTCTCTATTCGGAAAGAGGACTATGCATGGTACGGTCACGCATTTAGACTGGAAAAAAAGAGATTTAATCTAAGGCAAATGAAAGGGGTTTTTTTTACAGTAAGAACAAGAAGGATGTGGAAGTCTCTGCCTGAAGAGGTGTTTTTATCAGAGTCTGTATAGATATTTAAAGAGCAACTGTATGAATACTTGCAAAAACATAATCAGGGATGGTATTTTTAATATATGGGGTTAAGGCTTCTTGATCCAAGGAGAGATCTAACTGCCATTCTGAGGTCACTGCCATTCTGAGTTTTTTTTGTAATTTGTTGTAAAATTGGAAAGGGCTTCAAACTGTATTTTTTTTTTACCTTCTTTTGGATCAACAACAAAATCTGAATTACAATCACAAGTCTTTTTTCAGCATATGTATCTGTGTAACATTTGAAAAACCAGGGTTGGAAGCCTCTGTTATGACATAATTAATTCAAGTTTGTTATAAAAAGTATTCTTACATAAAATATGTAACTTAATCAGACAGTTGACATAATAGTCTGAGTCTCTAAAACATGTTCCAATTTAGATGTTTGAAATTATAAATAATAATTGTTGTAGCTGATGCCAGTTATTCTGGGCATGGGTATACGCTTTTATTAGTTTATTTATCCTTAAAAACAATAAGTATGTTATTTGTAAAAGACAAGCAAAGTAACCACAGTTTGGCTTAAAAACAAATGTCAACACTGTCTGTAACAGTTCTTTGTGTAACATGTTATCATCACATTTTTGTGGTACCAAGTATATTATGTTCATAACTGTATTGTTTATTTAAAATAACATTGTGTAATATTTTTATTTTATTTTGCCAATACCTCATTTGCAATTACACACAAAAAGTAACTCGTGTGAATCAATACGCTAAATGATTTACAGGGATTTATTCATTAAATACTAAATTTGAGTGAACTTCAACCAAGGCAAAATAGTCATGTTGGAAAAACAGCTGACTGAGTGTCTCCAAAGCAACATTTTATCTATGTGAAAATTTACCAAGAGTACTTAACTAGCTCATCCTCTTTTTTTTTGATACTGCCATGTAGGTCCTCCGATGGCATAGGAACCGAAGAAAATATTGGGGGCGGGTGAAGAGGAAGCCTTTCATAATACATAGCATCAACCTACGGAACATATATCAAATAGTGCAGTTTTCTATATGTAAAATGATAACTTTAATTAGGGAAGCTATTGGTACAATGCAGTATGGACCGAACTAAGCTTATTGACAGTTTAACCCCTTCACTGCCAAGCACTTATTGATTGAAAAAATATTAGCATGACATTGAATTGAAGCAATGGATGCATACTTGGCCTATAAACATATCAGAACACAGCGGTTTTGTGTACAGGTTGCTTTGCAGACAAAATTAAATATATGTGCATTTACACAACCTTTATTTTTCAATTACCCGTTTGAAACGTTAGTACAAATGCACAAATACAATTTTTCTTACATACAGTAGAAGTGACAAAAATATATAAATAAAACCGGTCACATACCATACCTATGGGTATTTGTAAGGACCTTGAAGGCATTATATGCAGTGCGGCTTACTAAACATTATAACAGAATGTAAAAAGAAAGTCTGGATTTGAGCATAATGTCCACATACAGTTAATACAGTTAAATAATATATTTCTAAATCAAAAGATAGAGCAATCTTTATACAATCTCTGCTAATTATTATTATTATTATGTTATTTATATAGCGCCAACAAGTTCTGTACCGCTTTACAGTGGGTGGGCGAACAAACATGTAGTTGTGACCATGCAATGCTGACAGTGAAATGGTATAGTCCATTCACTCCTCCCCCTTCCCGACTTTAAACGTAAATGAATCATTTAAACGTCCTGTACCGTTGAAGGCAGGGGGTGAGGAGGCATTTTCAGGCATTTTCAGCATATGTACAGGCAATTTATCAGTAGTAATCATCGCTAGACTATAAATGAGGCTTTATGGACTAGATTTTAAACTGCAAATAACATGAAAACAAAAATGTGAATAGTTGTTTTTAATATTAAAGGGGTTAATATATTGATATGTAATTTCATAAACTCTACGTTATTCAATAAAGTCTTATGTTTTTGCATCTTCTTGTTGAAATATACTTCTTTTATAAGCGTATCGGAGAAGATAACCATCTTTAAAATATGATTTTACAAGCTACACCATTATGACTGGTGGGAACCCGGCACCTTTCATCCCCCTCACTTGATTTTCTGGGGGGCTGACTCATACCCGCATCCCCCATGCTTATTACATCCATGAGGTCCTCTAACAGTCAGAAGGTCCAATCCATGGCTACTGTATCTTTATGGTGTTTTCTGCAAGGTAATGGGCACAGTACTGGGTGAGAAGCAGGATATGCCAGAGACACAGCAGTCATGGACGAAGCTTTAGGTCTACTGGAGGATCTACGTGGGGGTGGAAAAACAATAAAAACTCTGGTAAGTGAAAATCTGTCATAATATTTTACATAAACATGATAAAACAGCATTATTTTAGATAGTTAGGGAAAACATTGTAATGAGCTGAACTTTAGATTAGATAACAGTTGTTCTTTTATTATTGTTTTTGGCATTTATATAGCTCCAAGCATATTCCACAGCACTTTACAAGATTATAAAGGGGAGTTTAACAAGAAATGAGGGGAAATGTTACAGTAGCAATAGGTTGATGAGGACCCGGCTCAAACGAGCTTGCTCTTATAGTTTGTTTATACCTATAAAACCTACTGACTATGGGCCATATGGAAAGGGTGACTTCTTAAAGAGATTGTTTTTTCCCCATTATGTGCTGTAAGTAAGTTGAAATATGAGTTCTTCTCAATCTGAGAAAGTTGCTTACTCATTTTCACACAAACAAAACAACTTGCAGTATCAGCTCATTAGTCAGGCAGAGATTAGTGTCTTTTCAGTACAAAAAAAACCAAAAAACTATTCTATATTAAATTACTGATCTCTGTCCCTAACTAATTTATGTTAGCAAACATCCTATTATTTTTAAATGGTCTTTACCATTTTTAATCCCTTTGTCTGTTCCTTTTTTCCCAGATGTTCATAAGTGGTTAAGAAGTATCAGATGCGATACCATCTTTTGGTTTAGTTTACGTTAAAAGGAAATTGCATCAACCAAATATAGAAGGCTTATTGAAAAGCTATATCGAAGTACACACTGTTGTTCCTTTTTGAAGGAGCATTATATTCCCATGATTACATACAAAACTGTCTATCTACCCATCTTCACAAAGCTGTCTGGAGTTGACAATATTTTTTTTCAATGTGGACTCAGTTCATCATTGATAGATCCAGATTTACTACCTTATTTTCCCAATAATCACTAATGTTTTCACTTTGTCACTTCTTTTTAATCTGAATTTACTGGAGGTGATATATTGAAATGGTCACAGTTGTAATTTCCTTGTCAATATGCCACAACTGGTCCTTGCATTTTTTGCAAATCATGTGAAAGATAAATTTGCACACATTATTATCGTTGGTGATAGGAAGGTGGTCACACTCACAAGGGATAGTTTCAGATAGGTATATCTACCTTCTGATGCACCACAGGCCAATGTACACAAGAAGAGGTGTCACCTTTGGGGGTATTTAAAAACATGCAAAAAAAACAAAGTTAACAGAGCCACTTTAATTTGACAAGCATGCTACAATAGGGGCATGGAATTCATATACAGTATGTTCTTTATTATACACTTGCATCACTTCGGCTCTCCAAATAATTATTAAGATGGGGAAACATAAAGTAAAATAAGAAGGGAACCAAGGAAAATCAATGTCCAGAAATAGGGAGACTGAAAGAAGTGTGGGGTACAACGTGTTAAAATAATAATAATAATAACAAAGTCTTTAGCCAGGAAGGGTACATTCACATATTGTCTGGTTTCCAAGTGGGGATGTTACCTTTGACCAACATCCAGGGGATTTAAAAGCAGCAGAAAGACCATCAAGAATGAGTAAGAAGTAGTGAACTTAGCAGTATAAAAATACTCAAGTTCTATTGTCCTTTGTTACTGGCATTTTCTTTGAAGGTACTTTATTGTTAGATATATCCTGAAAGCCCTCTTCTCAGTGTCTTCAATGGTAGTTTTGTATCAGGAGCATTTTTGTGCATAACATTGTTACAATATTTATTTGTTTCAATTGGCAATAAACAAATCCATATCTTCCAAAAATAAAAATAAAAAAAATACTTAAGTTGTGTGATCGTATTGGACTACCAAGGGCAGAAATCCATCTAAGAATGTAATTATTATTATTTATTTAAAGGGAATAAGGATGTTAACACTATTCTAAGAACAAAAATAAGGCTTTCTCACACCTTCCAGGATTACACCTTATTTCAGGATTACACTATGCTTTTATGGACCGGTCCTTTTTGCATTGCATTTTGTGTTTATTTTATTATCATTATAATTGTTATTAAAGTTCTATCATATTCTTCAACACTGCACAGAGAGCAAATGGTATGTATTTTGACAGATAAAACTCCTTGTAGGACCACGCATAAACCATTTCTGTAATCACTTTGTGAAATGGTCTTTTCATGAACTAAGTCATTCACCTTTTGAGGTTGGAGCAGTAAATCCTTTGAGTGCCCAGTGGTTGCACAGACCTTCGCTCCATCTCCTTCCAATCAAACTTTTAATTCACATAGTGCCCCATTCTATTAGTGAAATAGAAATTATTTTCAGAAGTACACACACATGCAGGATTAGTAAATACGCACATCTCATATATCAGTCACAAAACATTAATTCCAAAGAAGTAAATTGGATATTTCTCATGTAAATGGAGCTTTATTTCTGAAGGGCGCACTGTTTGCATTAACCAGAGTGTTCTGTTACTGCGTATGTCCTTATATATGCTCACCTCTGTCCTTTCATAGTGGAAATCACAGAATCAAATATGCAGTTGTGGAATCTAAAGCTATCTATCTTTCAGTCACTGGTAAGCTCTGCAAATTCACACCTCATAACTTCTCCATCTGACATTTATTAACATCAGTCTCAGGTGTCTGTTTCCTTAATTGCGCTAACATTCAACAAAGACTAACGGTATACAGAATCCACTACTTTTTAGATGGAATTTTATCAAGTCAGTTTATCAAGGTATCACCTCACAGAAATGGTTCTTTAATACTTAAATCGTTTGACTCCATAAAACTGTTTACAAAATTGGAAGTAAGTTTCACTGCTCCTATCAGATTAAAATCATGTTTCAGTTAGGGATATAAGATACTCGAGTATAAGTCGACCCTAATATAAGTCGAGACCCCTAATTTTACCCCCAAAAACTGGGAAACCTTATTGACTCGAGTATAAGACTAGGGTGGGAAATGCAGCAGCTACTGGTAAATTTCCAAATAAAATTATATCCCCCAAAAATTACATTCATTTAATATTTATTTACAGTGTGTGTATATAATGAATGCAGTGTGTGTATATAATGCAGTGTGTTTGTATGAATGCGGTGTGTGTGTCTGTATGAGTGCAGTGTGTGTGTATAAATGCAGTGTGTGTGTATGAGTGCAGTGTGTGTGTGTATGAATGCAGTGTGTGTGTATTAATGCAGTGTGTGTGAATGAATGTAGTGTGTGTATGAATGCAGTGTGTGTGTATGAATGCAGTGTGTGTGTGTATATAATGCAGTGTGTTTGTATGAATGCGGTGTGTATGTATGAGTGCAGTGTGTGTGTGTGTGTGTGTGAATGCAGTGTGTGTGTGTGTATGACTGCAGTGTGTGTGTATAAGTGCAGTGTGTGAATGCAGTGTGTGTGTGTGTGTGTATGACTGCAGTGTGTGTGTATGAGTGCAGTGTGTGTGTGTATGAATGCAGTGTGTGTGTGTATGAGTGCAGTGGGTGTGTGTATGAATGCAGTGTGTGTGTATGAGTGCAGTGTGTGTGAGTGCAGTGTGTGTGTGTATGAGTGCAGTGTGTATGTGTGTATGAATGCAATGTGTGTGTGTATGGATGCAGTGTGTGTGTGTGATGCAGAGTGTGTTTGTGTGTGTGATGCAGAGCCTTGGTGGGGGGGTGGGCATTTTTATTATTTTTTTTAATATATATTATTAATTTTTTTTTAAATTATATTATTATTTAATTTTTTATTTATATTTTTTTTCGTCCCACTTCCCTGCTTGTTAGCTGGCCAGGGAAGGGGGCTCTCATTCCCTGGTGGTCCAGTGGATGGACTGTGTAGGAGGGGGCTGGCAGCGAGCTGTAACTTACCTTTCCTGCAGCTCCTGTCAGTTCCCTTCTCCTCCGGTCCGGTCAGCTCCTCTGTCAGCTCCCCTGTCAGCTCCACTGTAAGTCTCGCAATGTGACTGCCGCGCGGAGCGTTGCCACGGTGACCCCGCGGCTCTCGCGAGACTTACATTGGAGCTGACAGGGGAGCTGACCGGACCGGAGGAGAAGGGAGCTGACAGGAGCTGCAGGAAAGGTAAGTTACAGCTCGCTGCTGGCCCCCAACGTGACCGCCGGGCTTGTAATGAGCCCGGCGGTCCTTGTCTGTATTATGGCAATATAAGTTGCCATAATACAGACATTGACTCGAGTATAAGACGAGTGGGGGCTTTTCAGCACAAAAAATGTGCCGGAAAACTCGTCTTATACTGGAGTATTTACGGTAATCTTTATTTCATAAGGCTAAGCTTGAAGAGGACAGGAAGTAAATAACCGTGATAATAAGCGATTGCTTCTTTTGATCCTTATATTGGGATTGCTGCAATGTTGTGCAAAACTGCTAAATAGCTGAGTACAACTGCATAAACAACATTTTTTACCTTGCTTGTGAGCAAATCACAAACTGGTGTTTTCCTCAGGTAAATGTGAATACAACAACATGCATTCACAAAGAGGTAGGATTTGTTTTCAATTTCCCTGAAGTTTAAGAAAATGCTTTATATTTCTGTTTGGTATTTTAGAAATCCATACCATATATATTTTAAGGAATTGGGTAGAGACTTACATTTTTAATATGACAATGCTTGTACTAAT